GGAGCGTACAGTATGACTGGACGTATTTATGAAAACTTTGCTTACTGCAGTCTGTTTAGCTTGAAAGTGGGCTCTCCTTTTTCGGTTTTGCCTTACAGCACCTTACCAGGTGTACACATTATTATACTGTCAACAGCCACTTATGGAAAAAGTTGTTGAAACCCCTGACACAGGTGTGGAAAATGGCATGTTTTGGCCTGAATTAGGGTCATGATTTGAAGAAATGGCATGCGCATGAACACCTCTTTCAAGAAATAATTGTGAGAAGTCCTTTGCCCTTACAGTGTGTCAATATTTTGTACATGTACCTGCAAGAATGGGGAGAAACAGGCTGTAATGTTGATATCATCTCCCTGAACATTTTCACATGACATTTTAATTTATTTAAGTGGCTTTTTTTGCATGTGTTTGTCTGGCCAGCCAATTTATGGTTATGGATCTATGGATGACGTGTTGTTTCGAAGCGCACCAACTAAGGATGGGGACATTTTCTTTGTTGAAGATAAGGAGATAAGCCTACGAGAGCTGGCAATGAATGTGGTTATACCCACTGACCCTGGACAAAGAAGTGTTAAAGGTGAAATCTCAGTCAGTCAATTCAGTCAGAACTTCCAACAGAAGATCGCAAAGGAGAGGTTTTGTTTCATGCACAAATTTAAGAAAAACTCATGCATCACGTCTATAAAAGATAAAAATTCAATTCCTTCTTCTTGTGTACAAGGTTTCAGGTAAATCCTAAAGTTTTCAAAACTGAGAGAAAAAAATATATGGTTAAATATAATTCAGAAGGCAAAAAAAATCTCATGCTGGTTCAAAAATTCCTTAGTTGTGCTCTGTAGAATTCAAGTGCCACATATTAATGTTGGCCTTAACCCTTTAACTCCCAAGATCTGTTTAATTCTCCTTTCTGGCTGCTACACATTTCCTTGTAAATTAGTTACAAGAATTTGGAGTTAGATAGAGACAACAACTTCCATCTGATAAATTTGAGTTTTCTCATTATCTGCTTGCTGGGTGATGTATGGATATTACAGGGAGAAGTTACATGTTAATCATTTGTGAGGGTTAAACAGCTAATCACACATCACATAAAACCCTTTGTTAAAAATGCATTTGAATTAGTTTCATGGTTTTAAAAGGTTGAAAATTTTCTCTATTTTGTATAATAGTGAATCTTGGCTATTTTCTAGGGAAACAGAAAATATTCCTCCATATTTAAACTTACACAGATTCAAACTTTCTTGTGATTAGTCCTATTTTGTGTTCTTGCCTGTGCGTTAAACTTATGTTTAAAAGAAGTTGTGGCTTTGATTCTCCTTTGTCAGCAAATTGGTTGTCTGCTGAGGGCACACTGCCTGCTGGAAGTCATGCTCAGCCAAATGTTGGTAAGTTGAAACTGATTGGCCAAATTGTCTTTAAAAAGCACACCTGCTTCAAACTGCATCTTTAAACGTGTGTTGTTTCATCTATGTCAATTTAGGACGAGTTAACAATGATGGAGGCAGTATCCAGCGTCCCCTCTCTCAGGTGGTTGTCTTCATATTTTCAGTTTTAGTACACAAAATTTTGTTCAATGCCATTGTTAGAGCTAACTGTTTTTACCTCTCTTACCTTTATAGTGGCCTTACATGTCCTTAGTCACTTGGGTATATTTAAGTTATAAGGGTAAATTTTTTAACCTTACAAACTTTTTGAAACCCTTCTTTCAGTTCTAAACTCAGTCTGCAAGTCAGTATCTTTGAGCATGAAAAAGTGGCACCTGAAATTCCATTCTCCCTCCCTCCCCCACCCCCTGCCATTTAACACTAGATTGAAACTCATGTGAAAAGCTTGTGTGTTATGATGAGTATTTTGGTCTTATTTGGAGAAAGATCATGTTCGATACTTAGCTACCTCTGACTGTAGCTGCCATCTTCTGTCTAGGAGTATTGCAGGCACCAGAAAACTCTCAGGGAGACTGAGCATGCTCTTTGGTAGTTACACCTTGTTTCATACTTCCTTAGCAGGATGTGCAGCTGTATTGTAGCTGTGTTAGCCTTGCAGGATACTTTAAAGGGCTCTAAGTTCTTTTTGAACCCGTTTAGACATTTACAATGGACATTTTTTAAACTATGTTTCTGGCTTTCTCCCAATAGGCATGTTTAAGTTACTATGAGCAAGTAACGAAAGCAATTTTGGGTGATGATGAACAATGCAACAGAGTAAGAATTTATCTGAATTTAGAATACTTTAGCTGTGATTCAGTTGGGAAGGTATTTGTGGTGTTCCACACCTGAAAAAGTTCAAAGTTAAAGAAAAAGTTTTGTTACAGAATGTGATTATTTTCTATTCTTCTCCTGGCAGGTGGCTCTGAGTGATCTGAAAACAAATCCAAAGATTTATTCTTTACTGGCATACTTTGTGAACTTTATTGCATCCGGGGTAAGTCAGTGGACTAATCATGTTATTTCAAACCTTTGCCTATTTTGTTTAGCAAAAATCGAAGCCAAAGAAATCAATTTAACAGAATTTCTTCTGATAAATCATTTTATTGGGTTGTACAAATTTTAAGAAAAGCTGAGTTTTAGTTTGTAGATTGAAGTTGTAGCGTCCACTCATAGCTACTTGAAACTGTACTTTAATTAGTTGTTCACTTGCTAGTTCGTTTCTAATCTGCACATAACTTGTATTCATTCCATTCACAAATTGCACGTGAAAGAGAAAGATTCGCTGAAATAACAACAACGCGACTATTACAAAGATGATATTGACCGAATAACCGAAATACTGCATACTTACAAGTTATTGTGCCTTCTAAATAGAAAGGAAAACTTGTCCTAACGAAACGACAGTATAACTCCATAACAAAACATGTGCTTTTCGTGGGAAAGAGCGCCCGCGATATTTTGCGTGCGGTCACCGAAGACCAAACCATATAACGTTTATTTTCTGTCTCTTACAGAAGTGATAATGTATTTTTCAGGTGAAGACCTATAGCCATGACTTGACACAACTAAGTAAGCTGTTGAGTATGGTCAGATCACTGATTGACAACTCATCACTGTTCCTTGAGCCTTATGTAAGCAAATTATTTATGATATCTATTAGCTTAAAAAATTAACTTTGCACTCATCATTCAAACATGTAAGGTCAACATTTAAGACATCTTAATTATGCATATGATATCTTTTCAAGTGCTTTTCTTGTGTCTTTCAACTGCATCTGAAATTTGCGTATAAATAAGTGTGAAAATTGTGTGAGGACTATGCTCAGAGTCCATCATGATTATAAGTTCTTGAGTACACACAGATATGTGTTTAGTTTGGTTTATAGTGCAAGCAGGCCCTCATTGTGCTGCAAGAGTTGAGACAAGTCAAGGAGAGGTTTGCTAGGCGTGTGGAAGTAAATTAAGGTCTTGCTCATAAGCTAAGCTTGGTTAAATCAAATTTACAAACAAGTTAAGCAATTTTTGATGGATCAGAGTTCATGATCATTTACACTGTATTCCTTTTGAATTCATCAACAAAATGACCTTGTGGGCTGGGTATAAAAGGAACACAACTGCTGTACTTAATTAATACTAATACATGTAAATTTATTTGGTGAACAGGTTATTCAGCTGGTGACAGCAGTCATGTATTGTCTGCTAGAGTCTTTGGCTGCATCTCTGAACCCCAAAAATGACCACTGGAGATTGAGGGATGAAGCAGCTTCCATTTTGGCTCGCATTAGCAGGTAGATTTGCATTATGCAAGATAAAGTTGTTAGCATTGAGGTTATTGCAATATGCATCCTTATTTGATTTAATGCAGCATTTGCTTGAGCACATTTCAAAAGGCACTTATCTTTCTAGTAAAAGCTCACCCAAAAGGTTTATTTGTGTATTGAGTGTAACTGTGTGTTCTTTTACAGAAAATGCAGTAATCCAGTGAATTATTTGAGACAGCAGCTTTTAATGACACTACAGGAAGTGTTATTGGATGACGGGCGGCCATTTTGTTCCCATTATGGTGCTGTAGTTGGATTGACCGAGCTGGGACCAGAGGTCAATATTTTTATTGCTCTTATTCGATTTCAGTAGTAAGCCACATACCGTTTATAAGAAACTGTAGAAAGAAATAATCTTAAGTGTGAATTTGATGCCGTCTGAAAGAACGTTACCCGTCTGGCTGAACGAAAAGGGTGTTTTACCAGCGAATTATCACTAAACATATTTAATCAGAAACAATAGAGTAGCGCGCAAAAGTGAGTTGACAATACCCAGCTCGATCTTCGATCGTCGATTCTCGAAAAATTCGAGGCTCGAGGTTCGAGTCGAGTTTTGTAGCACAGAGCATATATTTACGAGGGAGAAGTTGCTGATTAGGAAGGCTGGCAAAAATCTACCAAGATGAAAACAATAGCGCTTTTATATACTTGTTATATCGAGTGATTTGAGGTCCTTGTCTGTGGACAATATTTCATCACTTTCTTCCTTCATTTTAGCCAATCAGATTCGAGAAATTTTGTTTTCGGTACGCGTAGATGCTTCCAGAAAACAAAAAACTGAATCAGGTTATTCTTGTATATTTTAGGCCTTAGAGCAGTATGTGATACCACACCTCCGAACCTATTGGACACAGCTTCAGCAAGTGTTAGACGACAACAGCCAATCAAATGCACTGCTGCAAGAAGAAGCTTACCAAGTTTATGGCGCTCTTTTGGTATGCTAGGCGCTCGTTTTTTTGCTCATACAACAGAAAAAGATGTATTTTCTTGAACAACCATTGGTTTATATTGGGGCCAAAAAAAGCGAAGAAAATTGAGTATGGTTTAGATCTAGGTTTGATTCAGTAAAGAGGGTAAGTTTCTAAAGAATCTGTGGTGCTGCGTCAGTGGGAGAGTATAACAAGATAATTTGGCAACATAAATTGGTCATCGTTGAGAGTTTCAAAGCTGACGTTTCGTGCGTTAGTCCTTCGTCGGAGCGAATGACGAAGGGCTAACGCTCGAAATGTCAGCTTTGAAACTCCTAACGGTGGCCAATTTACGTTATTGATACTATCAAATCAGTTGACCAAATTATCTTGATTGAGGCTGGACTTCATTAAACAATCTTCCCTTGATATACAATTCGAATGATTCGCCTTTGATACTGATGTAGCTCTTCATCTCTTAAATGTATGTATTCCTTGTATCCTGCAGCAAGCCGCAGGTTGTCTGTTGAAATCTAAGCAGCATGGCGTTCCAATGACCTCTCTCGGTTTTCAAGTCAACAACTCGCACCCAGTTCTGCGCACCAATTTATCTCCGTGGGCTGGAGCGAGTGTACTTCAGCGCCCAGCCCCCGTGGCAAAGTCCCGATCCCGGTCAAGTTCAACTGGTCTCGCTTCGAATCCTTTTCAGCTGTACCAGCAGCTGTACGATGTATTCGGCGACAGTCTAGGTCCCAGGACTGCACACAACAACTGGCAAGACGCGGTCGTTACCAAAACTAACCAACTTCGGATGCAACCATTTGCGCACGCGTACTTTCCCTTACGACCTCTGCCGCGCGATGCAAATATTATCAAGGAGTTGATTAACAAAGCGAAAGAGAAATTACAGACATTTGGTTCAAAAACTAACACGTTTGGTGTTAAAAGGAAGAGAACCATTGATGACGAATCAAGTCAAAGTCCAAAAGAAAGACTCAAAAGCAAAAGGATTTGTTTGACATTGAGGCCCTCTCTTGCGAAGGTCTCTGCTACGCTCATGGATTTGGATACTGAGGAACTCAGTTCATCGCAAAGCATAACGGCAGGAATTTCGAAGAAAAGCAGTGAGAAAGAGCTTGCAAAGGCTCCCAGACATGTTCAGCGAGTGACAAACTGTGGTGTTGAGACTGGACGCATTCAAAGAAAGTTAAGAAAGCAAAATCCCTCGCTCAGTAACAGAGTCAAGTTTGATTTTCACATTGGTGTAACTTTATAACATCGGTATTCTTGTTCCTGAGAAATACCTCAAGATAACACTGTACATGTAAATGTAACTCAGACTTGATTTTCGCGGTAGATATTTATACACGGTCTTGCTTGTATTCCGTAAAATTGATCACAACTATTCCTTTTTCCTGAATGGCCTTGAAACTACAAGTCAAAGAAACACACTGCATTCACAAATCGAAATACGTCTAGAGAGAAAAACTGTTGAATCAGAGCTGAATGGCCCTGAAACCACAAGTCAAGGAAACACACCGCATTCACAAATCGAAAGAAAAACTGTTCAATCAGAACTCTTAAAAGCTTCACGTGACCAGTTCAGAGCGCGGGAAAATAAGACGCTTGTGACCAGGTTGTGATTGATGTTGGGTTTTGACACTGCAACTGATTGTTTTGGCACTTAGCCCAAGCAAAAAGGTCTAACGCTCACAGACAATTAAACTTGTTGTGAAAGATGTGGTTATTGTTTTGTGGTTATAAAAAAAAGAGAAAGTTTTATTCATAATTGTTTGTCTTGAGTGTCAGTTATCATTAAGTCTTTGTCATTTTCACTGTTGGCAGTACATTATTTTGTGTTCAAGAACAAGTGAACATAACCATTTTCTCCCTTTTTTCACACATCATGGAGATATGATGTATATTTCTACATGAACAAGACAGTTCTCAAGTCATTCACTTTCTGTCATTGCACAAACCTTCGAGGATCGATCAATTTGACTCACATTCACAGGTCATACTATAATTTATTTCGTGTATAATTGGCAAATAATTTGAAAATTATTTTGTATAAAATTTGCAAATAAGCAAAATAGACATTATTTTTGAACATTATTTTTCTAATGATTCTTTCTAAAAAAAGGGACTTTTCGAAACTTTTCTGAATCACATCATTACCGCCAACAAATTGATCAGATTCGTCCACGGGAAAAAAGAACCCTCTAAAATTTTGCAATTGGGATCTGTGAGGCACGAGTTCGAATCTCATCTCGGCCTGAATTTTTTCAAGTTTCTTTTCTGCAATAGCTTTACTAAAACCGAGATTCATCGTACAAGCTAACCCAATCATGATGATCTATCAAGGTTCATTTCGGTGATTAATTAATAATTCATATCCACACGCCTGGCTGTAGCAGAGATGTATAATTGACTCAAGTTGACAACAACCGTCTAGGGAGAGTGATCTGAGTTGCTATTTTTTTTATATAAAACTTGATAGTTTTAATTCTATCTCAGTTTAAAAAGTAGCGTACAGTATTCTTTTATGGATCACCGGAATGACGTCAGGTTGTTTTCTGACGTCATTTTTTAAATAAAAAGGTGGTTGGTTTGTTTTCTATAATAAGGGGTAATTTTCAATCGACATCACCAAACTTCTAAGTTTAGAATTTCAAGTTTAGTCGCAGTTTTAGGAAAGTGTCCAGTGAAGTTTAATTTCCTCCAAATAGCTCCCCAAATTTTTCACGGTAATACGTTTTAAAGGTTGTAGCTAGCAAGTGCCTCATCGGCCCACTCAGTAACAACATTAATTCTAACACCTTCATTAGCCGCATAAGTAAACATATTTGGCCTATTCCTGTGCTCCACGGAGAGTGCGCAGTGATGGAAACCAATCAGATTCCACATGTCGTCAAAACATGGCGCGCCAGAGGAACCGTACTTGGTATCGGCTCTGTAATGTAGAAATGGCGAACTGGAATCCGAATCAGCAGCTTTTTCTCGTGCCTTGCTAAATGGCCACTTCCACGAGCTCTTCTTCACTGCACGCCGCCGAGTCTCGAAGCGGTGGTGTTCGATAAAGTCCTTGGAGAAAAGCTTCAGAAAACTTTCATCGTAGTGAAGGATTTGGTTGCTTCGCAGCACCACCATCTGGTTGCTATTTTCAGGATACTGGATGATATTCACGTGAGTGCCTGCTGTTATTGAAGGTAATATCTTCGTGCAGTAACCCACTTCACTTAAAGGCGTTCCACCGTCAAGCGATCTCTCGGACACAGCAATCAACCCGATGTCGAGACTACTATCTGGATGTGACACGAAACACGTGTCCGGTTCGAGGGCAAATTTCACCTCTGACATCTTGTAGAAGCTTGCGTTTGGATCGACTTGTTCAAATGACACCTCGCCCTCTTTACAATTCTTGAAAACGTGTGAGGCTGTAAGCAGGATCCTTTCGGTCAACATTGTACCCGTTCCTTGATTTCCGTTCTGCAGGAATATCTTTCCCACGAACTTGCGAGCTTTATTCCCTTCGTAGAGAAAACGGCTGCTCTGTAACTCTCCATTGAACAGGGCTTCCTCCTCTTCTGCTCTGCGCGTTGGGATGACCAATTCTCGCAGTGCATCGAGGATCCCCAAGTGTGCCTCATGGAAGCGTTGTTTGCTGTGTCTAAAGGTAAAGACAAAAAATCAAAATGTCTGGTCCAGACATAGCCAGTACAACCGCAGCTCCTTGCTCTGATGAAAAATGGTCTACTGCGACAAAAATCGCAGCAGACAATTTGCTTTGTGAGAAAGAGAGTATTCTTGGGAAGTCTTCGTCCCTACAACGTAATCTATGAGCTATTTGCTCCCAAAGCGGCATGCCGTCGCGTGCATGCTTTCCGCTTAGCTAACGCCTAGCTAAAAGAAAACGGAGAGGAGTGTTACGCAGCTAGAGAGAAAAATCCGATTCGGTTTTTTCGCAAAAAAAAAAATGCTACATCATAGACCATAAGGAAAAACCTACCTAAAGATGGCATCGACTTCATCCTCACCATCATTGGCCCCTGGAAAATTAAAGTCAAGAAATGCTTACCTTAAATTACTTGAAATGGGACAACAGGCGATAAAAGTGATGAGTGCGTAACGACTGCAGGATCGCGTGACAAAAAACGCGCAACAAAGAAAGAATTTTAATCCCGTGACAGAAGATCACTCGATTGAAATTCTTCTCAACTTCCGCTGTGATTCCGTCTTTCGATTGAATTCTGCTTTCTGTCTATTTCAGCTAAACCGACGCATCGAAATTACGGTTGATAGGCAAAGGTGCTGTACTTAGACATGAATCAGAAATAGGTAGATTGCGAGCCGCTAGCCATCGGTAAATATCTTTTCTTTCTTCCCTCATACCTACGGGAAACATAACTAAATCTCAAGGATAATGAATTATGAAGAAGTGAATATACCATTGCGAGATTACGATTGTAGTACAGAAAATTCAATCTTAGATAAATCCCCATTCTCTCAAGTTTACTCCGACGTAAAGCGATACAGCATAACAATAGTAGAGTTCTAAGGATCTAAAGCGCTCAAGAGTGAAAAAGCAAAAGCTTCATATGCATGCAGCTAGCCATTCCTTTCCTTTAGTATACTCAGTTTGAACATGTCGATCGCAAATTGAAATTCCTAGGAATGACTATCAAATGATTTTAATACTCATCTTACCTTGGTTTGATGCTGCAGTGTTTCCAAGACTCATCGCATTAGCGTAAATGAACTTTAAAATGAACGCGTCCTCGCTGTTGTTTCTTAAATTTGCTGCGGTTGAGTGCACGGTTTGTCACGCTACGTCAGTTTTTTCGGGGAATCCCGAAATTTCGTCGTATTTATGACGTGTAAAAGAACACAGCTTCACTCCACATAGCTAGTTTTATCTTCACCTTTTTTCTTAGCATTATTTACATCAACATGCACAACATTCAAGGTTTTGCTCGCGTGATTCGAACGTACTGTCAGGTGCACTTCTTAATGGATAAAAGCCGTCTTCATTTTAATCGAGTCGTGATGCGAGACGGTAGTGAAAGGTTTACTCCAGCGGTTTCCTTGAGGAGCAACAACAATTTTAGTAAAAGGGAAAATAAAATCACTAAATAGCGACTAACCTGTTCATTGCTTTCGTTTTGTGCCTCTCATCTTGAGCGCTTGACATTGTTCCCATAATATCAAATTCTGAGTTATCTGGTTTTTCCATCAATCTATTTTTAACTGGTGATTGTCACTTGTCTGCGGTTAAGTAGTGTGCTTGAAATATGTGACCGAGTGTATCGAACGGGTGTACGCAGGCTACCAAATGCTTACAAGTCAAGCACAAATTAAAGGAAAAGTATGTGGCATGAGTCTAAGCGAAAATTTCCCAGTTTCAGTTCACCCCGTTGATCAATGAGGGGTGGGGAGCCTGCAACATGTTAAAGCTCCCTTCGCTGGTATCTCTACACCGAAATAGAAAACATTGTTAGCTTGCGAGACGACTTCTATTAGTGCTGCTGTGCAAAAATCTCTTAGATTTTGCAAGTAGAGTGCGTCCGCGGACTGTGGTAAGTCCGCGAGGGGTCTGGCGCCGACTTTCACAAACCAGGGAAGCATGCGAATAACGTTGATAATAGTCTAATCGCAGGCTTGAGCACAGCCATTTTTTTGCAACGAGTTGTTTCACTTCTAATCATTTTATTTTTAGTTAGCCGTGATCCTTAATATATAACTCATTACTCCTCAGTATAAACTCGGTGGGATAGCGGGCTTCGGTAGCGAGCGACAAATCGAAAATTAGGATACATGTCCTCCCTTCATGTCCTTGAAATTGTAACCTAACTTGAAGACAAAACTAAACAAATATACGGGGTAAGAGATCACTTATTATTGCTTGATCTCTTAGTCCGGTTTGAGATTAACAACAGTCTCCCCTTTTCGGAGAAGTCAGTCGCGCGAGTCTGCCGCTGATTATTTGGACTCGCGTGACAGACCGCGTCAAAAGGGAGGGACTTCTTTCTCGTAGTCTAGTCCGACTGTTTCCACTAGGCTCTATCTTCGCCGTTTCTTTTCTTCAATCCACTCGAAAAGAATCCCCTCTTTTCAAGGGAGGAGTCTGGGCTTATTTCCCGGTCAGCGGTTGGAAATCACGACTAAAATCTGAGCCCCCGAACTACATCTGGGCACCGCACCTCTTTCTAAGCACTTCTCTAATTGACTACAACTTATTCAGGAGCGGATCTCTTCAGAGCCTCGTCATGACCATAAATTGCTATGGATGCCGGGTTTTTCGGTTAAAATTCCGAAGATTTCTTCCTGGCTGTAATGGCTGAATTTGTGACAGGGAGTCGACTATTATTCAATCGAAACATGTCTCCCATTAAGCACAGCAGTTGTGCCTCTCTTCATTCAGAATTCATTCCTCCTTCACTCTGTTCTCGCAGTTCCATTTTTAAGTGCTTGCATGTCAGGTTTCCTTGAGCCGTAGGAAGGAGCTGGACGTATTTTGCCCTGCTGCATTCTGAGATGTCGAATTTTTCGTTCAGTCGTGGTACATTCTCACGATGCACTTCTGGCAGACGGTCATGTAACGTGAATACACTGGAATCAAGCGTTCCAAGTTACTTCTGTAGAGTAAAGAGCCAAGATTACGATCAAAATAACTTAAAAATAAGCATTGTCAAAAGAGCTGTCAAATAGTGTGTATGTGTCTAAACAAAATCTTGCCAATTTATCAATGTCATTGATATAAATCCATGCTAAATATCCTCTTCACTCTTATTTATTCTCGTTCTCTTTTTGCTTCGTCTCACCCCTTCCGTGTTTGTCTACCCAAGCTATCTTTTATAGCACGGCTCTCGTGTATCGCAGCATTACATGCGCATTACAAGCGTGTAATTCTCACGTTTTGCATGTGCAACACACGCACACATAAAAAAATACACGCATGTGAGTTTGCATCAAAGTTTTCTTTTGACGAATGACTACTTTCTTTTTCACAGAGACAAGGTGGCGCGGATACTTCAAGGGTCGCTTTCGTCACGAGACAGTTCCCCTGTACGTAGATCTGCAATTTTACCCGGAATGTTTTAAAACATTTTTCCTCGTTCTCAAAAGGTGCCTGAGGTGGCATGTTGCTGTTATGTAACACAAATAATTGAAACCAAGTCCAAAGATGGTCGCGTCTTTCATCCCGCAGAAGGCTCTCTGGTAAACGCCCGTTCGATTTGCGCCTGCACTCATCGCGTACAGTAGATATTCTCTTGAGAGCTTCTGTGGTGTAGAGAACGATAATATTTTATTTTTCAACATTCAGCGTTCATATAGTTTACCTACCTGTGTAAAGAATCCAATTTGCCGCAGGTATCCACCAAAGAGCCGAGGAAAATGTCCGTCTCATTCGCATCCCACTCTTGCTGCTTGCACGATTCAATGAACTACATGAAGAAAAATAAAACAACAAATATATTTTAAAAAACAGTAAAAACCTAAAGAAGACGTTCTGGGGAGCAGAGCCATGGAATCATGATGAGAGCTGTGGCCTGGGTTTGGAACTGACGTCACCGCTAGATTGAGTTAGTAGTTAGTACGTCCTTGCTAATACACCTTTTCTCCCTCCACACCCACGCTCACGCGTGCACGTGCACGCACACGCACACATACACGCACACGCACACATACACGCACACGCACACGCACACATACACGCACACGCACATGCACACATAACTAAAAAGATATCCAGTTTATAATTTCAATCCGGAAAAACAGTCCACAAAGAGTTGCCAGTGAGATCACCGCAGCTTCATTCCAAACTGTTTTTTTGTTATTTTTTTCCTTTACATATTTAATTCGCAACAGTTCAACAATGTCCCTCGTCACTCGCGTGTATATAAACCCTTTAACTTCCAGATCAAATTTGTAATTCTCCTTACCGTCAACCATAAAATTCTTATAATATTAGTTCAGAGAATTTAGTATTGAAACAACTTATTATCCCCAAATTGATATATCTCTTCATTCTTATCAATTATCTGGTTGATATTGTATTGATATTGTCGGGAGAAATTCTGTCTTGTTCACTTATGGAAGTTGAAGGGTTAATAATATTAACAAAACTGGCAACAGTAAAGGCGCGGAAACTTGTCGGAATTTCAAGGGGAAAGAGGGGAGAAGGGGGGGGGGGGAGAGTAATTGGCGATGGACTGACGTTACATCCAGGTGCACTACGGAATATACTCTGGCGGCGTGGGAATTAATTGGATTTTACTTTACATTTACCTAGATGCGTTTGATTTTGACAATTTTCCTTTCAGTAAGGCTGTTCGCACTTGTCATAAATGTCTCGCAAAGTCGTGTCAAATCCACAACTTCGGCTACAATTTGTACAATACCTGACATGGTTTGATGCTACTCTGTGTAAACCAGAGTAGCATCAAACCATGTCTGATTGTCCACTTGGTTGCCGTGTGAACTTTAATATATTTTATTTGTACAATACCTTTTCTACAAAGTCACTTAAAACATCCTTGACTTCTTTACTGTGGATAAGACCAGCGGCAATAGTTAGGAGACCTCGACAGAGATTCTATAGAGAAACAGAGACAGAAAATATACAAGGTAAATATACATGCAGTGTAGATAGAGGTACAGTGTGTAAAAAGAAAAGGTGAGAAAGTGACATGCGCATTGAACATAGCCAGGTAATGAGGTTAATCAGAAGAATTAATAAGTGAGATTTCTGACTAAAAATTGCACGAAACAAAAGTTCAATTCTCACATTATTAAATCTATTTTTTTAAATCGCACAATTTAGCAGCCTAAAAACAGGATATTGGTGAGAGCCGATAGTTCACTGATCCAATAGCAAACGAAAATAAAAAAAAATAATAATAATGTGATGCGTTAATACATCACAATTAAGAATTCTGAAATCTGATTGGTTACTTTGTGATTAACTACTTAAGTCACTGCTAGAAGCCAATCGGATTGCAGCAATCACAAGTGATGTTAAAATTGATTTCATCAACACTGAAATACCCATTCTGGGAGAATGAAGAGGAAATGTGCATAAATTTAAATTAGGAATTTCCATTGGCTCATTTAATGCTGTACGCTACATGTAAACCTTATGGTGATGCCTCATTTAAAATGCTGGCTTAGTCATAAGTCATTAAATGCTGGCCTGGAGCCATTCGCTCTGACGAAGGGCTAACACTCGAAACGTCAGCTTTGAAATTCTTTAGGGTGGCCAATTTACGTTATCAACTCAGTTGACAATACTGAATGACCCTGTTGTACTCTTCCACCAATGCAGCACCACCGTTTCTTTAGAGACTAACCCCCTTTATTAATTGGCCTGATCATGGCCTTGTATTCAAAGGCTAGATACTCTATCCACACAATGTCCCTCTCTCTCCACACAAGGGATAAATGTTTATCAGCAAGCTGATCAAAGGGCTGCAGGACGCGCATCTCTCCGCCCGCGGGAAGATCGAAAACAAATCTTCGAGGTCTGCTTCGGGTCCGACGCTAGTTACCAGACTCTTAGCAGACCTCTTGCCGACTCGGTTCGCTCCAGGCCTCATACTTAGCCGCTGGCGAAGAAACGTTCCAGCTGAATCCCTAATGACAAAGGGATTCTCAAATGCCACTTCAAAAGTGGTGGTGAGTAATGGCAACACTGATAATAAAACATATTTTTACCATTGTAGAGATGCAAACTTTAAAAAGAAATCTAGCAAAGTACCTTGAAATTGTTCTCCACAGACTTGGCCAACTTTTTGGTAAACCGCTTGGCTATATCATTGCAAACCAAGCTGAAACAAACAAAACATTTCCCTATTATAACTAAGTGCACAAAATTATTGAAATTCATGAAATTTCAAAAATTTTATCTGTTGTAATCTACTCAAACTGATGTTGTTCCAGTATTTCAAAAACTGAGAAAAACAGTAAAGTTTTCAGTTCTGGCAGTCAGAATTGTTTGAGGTCCATCTTGTAAACCATTACCCTGTGAGACTTAAAGCAACTTTCTTGAAAAAAAAGGCAACTGCAAATTTTGTACAAAGTTGTCAGACAAACCTTCTGTGCTCATCCACAATCTCTTTATCATTCACAAACACCTTCAGGTCTCTCAACTCCTGTAGGAAACCTCTGTCAAACTCTGCACCTGTATCTCCAACATCAGCTGAACACAAATAAATCATGAATGTTTAAGTTAGAGATTTTGGCATCCCAATGATAGCCACTCATACAGCTAGTAATTAAAAAGGTAACCCTTCCTCCCCTCCCCTCCCTGAGTACTATGTCCCAATAAGTTGAGGGTGGGGTACCTTTGAGCCACATCCTCTCTCAGTGACATTGAAAGATGACACTAGTTCCCCTCTCCCCACCCACCACCCTGTGAGGGGGCAGCAAATCATATAATGATATCCCTACCTCAGCTAAAAGGAAACAGTGAAATGTGTGCCATGAGTGGCAGAAAAGTTACTTCAAGGGTAAAATCAGTAACCTTATTAGAAAGCACAATAATTCCTGCACAACAAAATGGTAACTGGATAATAACTGACTGGAGGCACAAACGCATCAATATCAATTAGAAAAGAATGAAAAATTGCATGTACAGTTTTGCAAAAATAAATTGTTTTCTAATTTCCTAATTAAATCTTGTAGCAAGTAAATTCAGGTGAAATACAAAAAAAACCAAAACAAATTTATTGGTTATTGCAATTACTGCACATTGTAACAAAGTTTTTGGTTTTCAGTTGTTTTGTGTTCAAGTAAATCAATGTTAGTATTGAAAAAAATTTTAATTAACATTTATCTCATTAATTTTTTCCTTTGCATTTAAATGATCATCCTCTTTGTTAAATACATGTCGATAATTATTCTACCACAACTCTGAGGTTTCCAAGATGGATGAAATTGCTAAGGAGACATAATCCTTTTGCCTCCTTGTTAGAAAATACAAAGTAAAAACTTCAGGAAAAAAGTACTTAAAAGCACTAGTCGTGCCTTAAAATCTGATTAATAATTCAAACTACCTCTCTTACATTCACTTAAATCAAAGCTGGTTTACTGTCATCACACATTCTAGGAATTCTGGCAAATGGCAGAACTTAAGAAGTAGAAAAATTTTGTAATTCTTCAAAATATAAAAATGCTTACAGATGACGACCTTGAACAAAGGTAGTAGACATGATTCTGTGAATGGTTAGTGATAAATTAAAAATTAATTTAAAGCTTTGTTAGTACTAGTAGGTGAATTAATGAGAGAGAAAGTAATGGCAGAAAACAAGACAAATGAATCATTATATCAATGCACAAGTGAAATAAAAAGCAGTCAAATGAAAAAATAGATTAAACCATTAAATCTTAAACAAGTTTGGTTAATATGCTTTTCAAGGTCCATCATTGGCACTTCAAACTGACACTAATTTATCTAAAATGGTGTTATAAAAAAGGCCCTGTTTACTCAAACAACAACAGTAAAATATTCATATAAAGAGAATAACCTCTGTTGTTATTAAATCAACTTTACTTTCCATTTGTTTCTTTTTATTTATTCTTCTATCACAGTTACTTTTTTATTGTTTTGGAGAGTTTTCTAGTAAGTAGTACAATTTCATTGAAAAAAGGCAGGTAAATAAATAATTTAATAAAAATAATTAAATTGTTATTAGCTGTTACTTTTTTGAATTTTTTCTTGTTTAAAAGGGTTTTCTAGCAAATAGCACAATTCTAATGAAAAAGTGTGAGTAAACAAATAAATAAAAATAACTAAATAATGAAAAGAATGAAGAAAATAGATAAAAAGCACACTGACACAAAAAGCAAAAGGTAAGAGGTAATAAAAAATCTAATTTTTGGCCCTGAGTCTCTCATAATCCTACAGTAAACCCTATTACCTAAGATTTCATTTCTAATTCTCCTTACTACCTACCACGCAATTCTTACCATGTTAGTTTGGAGAATTTGGCATGGGATCAACTACTAATCCCCCAATTGATATTTTTCCTTATTCTCATTACCTGTCTGATTGACACTGTAATGATTTTGTAAGGAGAAATTCTATCTTGGTCACCCATGAGAGTTCAAGGGTCAAAAGTAAGGTTAGTGTTGACAAAGTTCACCTCTATCTTTCATAAATTATCAACTGATATTTAATCCATTTGAAAGAATAAAAGTTAACAAAAATTTTTGTCAGCAATTTTCAAAGACACTGACCAGTGGAGCCTTCTACTGATCCAACTGTCCAGTGATCTAACATCTGCTCTGCACAGAATACAAGGTCATCAAATGAAAGGTAGGAAAGCCTGTCAAGTGAGAAGAAATTTCTTCATATATCAGAGTGCACCTGTTCCTCTCAGACAGTTGTGGCTCCCTTCAAAAGGGCACTTTTCTCAGACCAGAGGCATACTG